GCCATATTGCTAAATTGTATATTGTTTAACTATAACCATTGTAAATGTGAAAGCCCTGTAATTAACTTAATATTAAATTAGATTAGTAGATTTCATTTGTGTCAGTTTGGAGTTGTCATGCTCACTCAAAGGTCTCATTGACGGTGGCGCGTGCAGTGGATCGCTCGATTCCCTACAATATGGTTGAGTTGGGCGGTGCTGGTGTACGTGTCATGTTCGTGAACGGGCGCCGTCAACTGGGACTGGTCAGCTCCAGACTGTATTATTACTGTGTCCTTAAGGTTATTTTCTTTTTTGATCACTTTGACTGGATTTTAGTGTTACAATGTTCTCGCACAATCCAAACAGCAAAACTATGTAACTAGTAAATTGTATTGTGAACCTGATTGAAAAAGAGTAACCTATGGAGTTTCTTGCTCGTTCTTCTCCATAGGAATCTACGCCTTGGAATGAGCAAATAGCTTCACTTTCAATTTTTTTTTTGACGTTCAAAAGTGCCATTCTGGCCTAATTGAAATAAATGATTTTGACTATAAGAGGAGAAGAAGAAAAAACTATGGTTTTCACTTCCCTCGGTGAATTACTGCAGGAGACAGAATGAATTAAGCCTAAAGGCACAAAGAAGAGACTGTACAACTGGGTGAAGCCCAGTCGCCAAGCACCACGGAAATTTGACTAAAAACTAAGTGGGTGGAGTGGGTGGCATATCCACCATGAAGCGGTGGCGCTTCGCCGAATGTCTTGTGGTACAATAATGGACTGGACAAGAGAAATCAAGTTTTGCTATTTCCCAGCGTACTTACGGAAATGCTTAGTGTAGTGTTTATTATTATGAACTATGAGACGACCTTTGATTTGATTGAGGCTTTACAGTCCTGCCTAATTAAGAAGCCATTTCGACTTCACCATTGGCTACTTCTGGTATGTATCTGAACGAGGTGTTGAAGAGTTTGTATAAAAACAATCGGAACTGATATAGGGTTATTGGGAAAAGAATAATATCGATAATCACTAACATTAACAGTGGATTAGCAAGCTGAAGTGGCAATGGACGAAGTACATAGCACGTACTATAGATAGATACAGTCGCGAAGTGCATACAAAAGTAGCACACGTTAGTAGCAAGCAATGCTGTCGCGCTTACAGGACTCGTACACAAAACTGCAATGCGACGTCGCTTTGCAAAAATGTGCGAGCTCCATAGCTCCCTCTACGCATCGCAACAACTTGCGAATTAATTCGCGTCGCGCATCAAAATCTTGTCTTCCCAAAATCTTTGTTTCTTTTTCCTGTATCTCTTGCAATAACAAAAGTGCACATTTGTTTTTACGATCCATTTCACGACTAGTTTACAATTTGAAATGCGTTTAGTACGGTTGAAGGTCGTCGAAGGAATGGTCTCCCTGGGAGACGCCTTGTCGCACGAAATCGCATCGCAGTAATTTGCAGTAATTTCCTGCCTTACGAAGACGCATCGCATCGCAGTTTTGTGTTCGCCCATATTTAGTGAACTCGAGACAGCTTTTCCGATTCATGCAGTCCTAGTACTTTTTAAAATATTAACACGCAATGACGACATTTTGAAAGTATGATAAAAAATCTCTGTTTTACAAAAAAAAAACTCAACAATGACTGTACCAAATTCAAAAGTGTATTGTACAACAACACACCTTTGGGAAACCCAAATAAATCTCTTTGTCAGATGAGTTTCAACGAAGATCTGCGTGTTATTATTTAGAAACGTACCAGGGCCGCATAAAATAGAAGAGGTGTAGTAGTTCCTATAATACAACTTATCTTTACTTCACCCTTCTTTTACTTGTCGGGGCGACAACAATAAGTAACAAAAGCAAAGAATACAAGGACGTTGAAGCTTGGAAGAATAGAATATTTTAAGTTGGTTGACTGTTGGAGTTAACATACGATGGCGTATGTATAAGTTGAATGAATGCAGTTTTATTATTTTCGGAAAACGAGCAGACGGATTACCTGATGGCAAGGAATCGGTGTCACCCATGGACACCCATATTTTTGGGATTTGGAACCTATTCATCAATATCTTTATGCATTACTAGCTTTTACCAACGGCTTGGCCCGCGTATTCCTTTTTTATCCCACGGGAACATTTAATCGGGGAAAAAGTCCTATCACCTTAAAATCAGCCTTACTAAATGTCATCAAAATCCGTTCTGTAGCTTCAGCGTGATTGACGGATTTATAATATTAGTGTGATTTTACCATTTACGGGACCACAGGGTCCCGGTCATTTGGGAGGCGTACGAGGGGCCGAAGCAGACTGCGCAGAGGCCCTTTAGACAACTTTAATCTAAATGTAATGGATACACAAACCGGCGACTATCCCTGTATGCCGTCGCGGAGAACCTAACGGGTAACCGGGGCTCCGGCTCGACGTGCAGGATAAGGAACGGGGTGGTCTTTAGTCAGTAAGAGTCTGACACTCCCGCCTCACCCAGGCGGGAGCAGTAATTCGATGTTTTTCCCCCCTTAAGAAAAATCCCTGAATGCACTATGGAAATGCACCCGAGGACAGTCCCCGGTTAGTGTAGAACTATTTTGGACAATGGAGAAAAAGGTAGGGTTGCTGTGGACTGGTAAATTGGGATTAATACTTTACTGATACTTTTTTTATTACACACAATAATGGTGTGTGTTGCCGACCTTTGAGGATTGGAGATTTGGGCGAGGTCATGGGTAAATGCTACTAAAGAAAATAAAATACAATACATTTTAAAGCGCAGTCCTTTATTGGTATTTGCTATAACTAATAATAAAATGAATACTTTTAGAACATCAGTGCTATAGGTAACAATCCTTTAATGTACCAATTCTATTTGTATTTATCTAATAGAAAAATACTTGCTATAAAAATTTCGTCTAGACCGACATGCCTAGAACGTTACGGTTTAAGTTACGTGATATATTTTATGTAAATATTTTTATAATGATTATCGTGAGACATACTAAATTAACTAATAATCGCGGGTTACTCACGTCAATATACTGAGAAAAGCTCTACTAGTTTCGAACCACAGAGGGGTTCTTCCTCATTAGCAGCATTTTTGCTACTGGCTAGCGTCGGCGCTTGCGTCAGTGTTGTTCCTTGCGCTGTGAGCCCACCGCCCCCTCTGCCGGACAACACGCGCGAAACTAGTAGAGCTTTTCTCAATATGTTCACGTGAGTAACCCGCGATTTTTGGGTAATTTATGTAAATATTGTTGAGATAGCCTCCTAGGGCAGCTGGGTGTTTCTTCAAAAAAGTTTAACTTTTATTTAACAAATCATTATCCTCCCGCGTTGTTAAGAATCGCAGTAACTTATTAGCATGTGTATTTTATTGGATTGGGTGAGAGCAGTGATACGGCTCAATTTTTTTAAACTAAACTTTGTATTTTAATCAGTAGAATTGTTAACTGTGGCTTAAGGATAATGAGGCCGTTAAATTTTTTGGAGAATCACCCAGCTATGCGTGGCGGGACCTGCCACAAAAACAGCGGTGAACATGTTAGGGCGACTCGGGTCACGGCTACATTGCGGTAATTTTAGCCTTTAGAGTCCGGCCTCGTCACCCCCACGACGTGGAAAGTCCACGAGGATTTCCATCGCGATAGAAAAAACAATATAAATAATAATGTTATAAAACAGAATTGTTTTATCGAATGTTTACTTTGCTCCAATTGCGTTATATATGGGGGTCGTCAAAAGGAGGGGCGCTGAGAACACTTCGATGTGACAAAAAGTTAATTTTATCAAATTAGTTTTTAAGATTAACACTAGACTCTTATTGCTATCACCAGGTCACCATGGCAGCGCAACCACTAACCGCCACAAACAAAATATTTCTCAGCTCTATAGAGAGTTACTCAACTGGTGTCCGCTTGGTAGCGCAACCAGTCTGCCGGAGCGACCTCGTCGATACTCTGGTTATCCTGACTCTCAATTACATTCAATATTTTGTCATTATCAGCAATTTTATGAATATTCATTATTATGTGAGAATCACTGGTCAAGATCCAAGCGGTGACTGGTGACCGCTCTCCACTTACACCAATACAGACCTTATTTCCGATGTTTAGAGACTACTTTAGTTTGAACAAAATGTTGTGGATTCTTCATAATCGGACATTAAGAAGTTAATCAACGAATTTCTTTATTTAGCTCGGATGCCAGCATTATTCTATATTGACACTATTGCAGCGCGCTGTGGCGACTCTGGTGTCCAGGTTGGTAGCTTACTGACTGACTGGTTGCACCGCCATGGCGTCCTGATGAAATAAAGCCCTTAATCAGATTCTGAATCCAAATAATTATGTAATTTTTTGATTGACTTTTGATTGACTGCACGATTGGTGCGGTGGCTGGGCAACCGGCTGCCGTGCAACGTGTTGCGGGTTCGATTCCCGCACGGTACAACACTTTGTGTCCACAAATTGTTGTTTCGGGTCTGAGTGTCATTGTGTATGTGAACTTGTATATTTGTAAACGCACCCAGGACACAGGAAAAAATCCTAATGTGGGGCAATGTTTTATAAAAAAAAAAAAACAAAATTGACTCCCTCATGCATGGAACACTTTTTTGTTCAACAAATCGTTGTCCCGGGTTTGGGTGTGATGTGTATACCAAATAGGGTAGCATACTAAAATCTTATTTTAATGTCCGTCTGGTAGATTATTTTAAAACATTACACACGTATTTTTTATTTTCTTACAGAAACGAATACTTTCGACGGTATATTGATTTGAAATGTCGCGTGACGTCACTTCTATGTACATTTTATACTAAGAAGAGACATATTTAGCCCCCACTCCTAAACTTTGATTCGTTTTATCTAAGTATTGTTTTCTTATACGACAAAATAAAAAAATACGTGTCTAATATTTTTTTACTACCTAACTGACGGACCAATTACATTTTTAATCTTCATACACTGTCTATTAACCTATTGTATGTTTGTAAACGCACGACCCACGAGAAAATCCTAGCCGGTGACAAAAAAAAAATATTTCTAATTAATACTAGCGTGTACTACATTTTTCTAAAAAAATTTAGATATTTTAGCTTGTAATAGACAATTGGTACGACAAAGTATGAGTTTAACCATCGACAACTGGCTCTGGTTTGGGCCGTAGCCCCCTAATACTGAGATCATAGACAACTTCTTCTATTTTCTTCACGTCGTACTTGAGCACATCGAAGCGTTTGCGCAGGTGATCGTTCTTCAAATTCAGTAGCCTGGAATAAAAATATAATAATTATCTTACACTATTATATAAAGCGGAAGAGTTTGTTTTTTTTGTTTGTTCGTTTGAACGCGCTAATCTCCGTAACTACAAGTCTGATTTGAATAATTATTTTTGTGTTGGATAGCACATTTATCGAGGATAGCTATAGGCTATAAAACATCACGCTACGACCAATAGGAGCTGAGCAGATCGTGTGAAACTGCGCGGAAGTTTTATTTATAAAACGAATTATTTAAATGTATAAGACTGCCTCGTTGACTGAGTGATCACAACTGTGACTCGGCAAGGGGTCTCGAGTTCGATTCCCGGGTCGCGCAAATTATATATGTAGTAGTAGCACGGAGTCTGGAATCGTGCCCGGTATATGGTAATAGGCTCACCCCTTATTACGTGGGACTCATAACGTAATAGTGAAAAGAGAGTGTTGCATTGTAGTGGCATTAAGTGCTGTAATATGCACCTCTGTCTACCCCTTCGGGGCTAAAAGGCGTGATGTTATGTTATGTAAAGGTAGGACAACCATGCTTCGATATAAATGGGTCGCTTCGATCGCAGTGATACCACGACTTGTCATAAATACTAGCGTCAAACAAGGTTTCCATTGTGGACGGCGCTGATCGCTTACCTAGAGATCAGGTGATGCGCTGTTCGAAATCGGTAAGGAGTCATAAATTATGTCTTAGATCTTTCTTAAATTGAATTTTCGGGTCAAGCTGTCATATTAGAATTATCGAAATTCCCTTTATTTATACCGAATTTCCGTGCGTTTAGGCGTTTTTGCCATACCTATTATTACAAGCAAGTATAACAGCTCACACATAGGACCCACTTAGTTTTTTAGTCAAATTTCCGTGGTGCTTGGCGACTGGGCTTCACTCAGTTGTACAGTCTCTTCTTTGTGCCTTTAGACTTAATTCATTCTGTCTCCTGCAGTAATTCACCGAGGGAAGTGGAAACTATAATTTTTTCTTCTTCTCCTCTTATAATATCTTCCGATTCACTTCGTTGCGGGAACCAAGACAGTTACTCATGTCCCTGGGACGCGCCGGACTTCAGTGTTCCGGTCTTTTAATGGTTGTATCTACTGTAGATCCTGGCTTACAGGAGTTGCAGCGGCTTTAGGAGGTTGAGGGCTTTTCCCATTAAAAAAAAACCGAACGTTGGACTCTCAAAGTTAATATTTGTTTTTTATTGATTACCTGAAGCCTGCATTCAACTCCATGACAAACTTGGAGATCTGCATCGGTTTCTCGAAGTCGCCGCGAGTTACTGAGTTTACCGCCAGACGAGACTGGAAAATTTTAATAAACATTTATTTATATTATAACCTGGGTGCTTACTCTTGAAACCAATCACAATGTCAATGCAATTTCAATCCAATAAAATCTCAATAATTATTCAATATCAAAACTATGCAACCCCTATCGTAGCTATTGAAGTAGCATTCCGAGTACGGAATATAAAGCCAAACACAATAACATTTAGTTCATTAAATTTCTACGCAATACGGATGCAATGGGCGCTAGTGTTGCAACTCAAGAGTACGAAATTTCACAATACCAATGTAGATCGATCGGAATTGGATTCAAAAGTAAGCCCCCCAAAAAAGTAAGTCCCGTCTTATACTACGCTGAGGTCTTTGGGCACCCCATAATAGGGTAGATGCCTAATTTTTATTTTAATGTCCGTCTGGTAGATTATTTTAAATCATTAGACACGTATTTTTTATTTTCTTACAGAAACGAATACTTTCGACGATATATTGATTTGAAATGTCACGTGACGTCACTTCTATGTACATTTTATACGTAGAAATTACGTTATAGCCCCCACTCCTAAACTTTGATTCGTTTTATCTTAGTATTATTTCATTATACGACAAAATATTAAAAAATACTTGTCTATTATTTTTTTATTATCTAACTGACGGACTAATTAGATTTTTAATTTTGATACCCTGGAAACTACCCAATTGCTGCGATGCGATATCGTGCGACAAGGCATCTCTCAGGATGACTGTACCTTCGACGACCGTCAACCGTACTAAACGTATTTTAAATTGAAAACTAGGTCGTGACATGGATCGTAAAAAGACATGTGCACTTTTGTAGCGAAGATAAGATTTTGACGATCAAACCCACAACTAGTTACACAGCAGCACTGCCGACTATGCAGTGGATTCAGTAACTTCCTCTATATCTCATAGTCTTTAGTATTTCCCAGAATATATGCTCACCAGTTCAGAACACAGCTGCAGCAGTCCATTGAGATAATCCTCTATATCCAGGTGGAAACCAGTCTTCCTTTCAAGAGCACTTACTGAAATCATAAAAAAAATTATATAGTTTTGTCTGATGTTTTCAAAATACTTTATTAGTAGACTCGTAATAACAAAATCTAATCATCATGGAACTTGGTAATCCTTACTAATTATAAATCGGTGAGTTTGTTTGTTTGTTCCGATTTCACGCCGTAACTACTAAACCGATTGCTTTGAATTTTTGCAGACGTAAAGTTAGAAGTCTGGATTAAATAATAGGGTACTTTTTATCCCGGTAAATTTGATATTCCCGAGGGAAAACAAAAGTATTGGTATAGATGGCGCTGTGTGTATTGGTATATGTCACATAGGCTACTTTTTATCCTTTTGTGACGCGAGCGAAGCCGCGGGTAAAAGCTAGTAGTATGTAAATTAGATGACAATACAATATTATGGTACCATCGAATTGATTTGATTATGGTGTTGTCTTATGGAACCTTGATCTATTATGTAACACCTGATATAACGCAATGAAAAATTGAATTTGAATTTGAACCTTGCACCAATAAATATCGAATTTAGTATGCATCTAATCAAAGTCAAAGCATTTATTTCAATTAAACTATATTTTGGTACTATTGAAACATCAACAAATACAAAATAAATAATAGTCTGTCAGTCAGTCCGTCAGTGAAGCTAGGAGCTCATTCCAAAATGTAGATTCGAATTGAGAAGAACGAGGAAGAAACTCCATTCTTTACTCTTTTTAACGAATAACGAAAAAAAATTGTTCTACAATGTCTCATCACAATAGATGCATCCATTTCTCCTGATGTTAAGCCTTGACTAATAATAATTTAGCAATTAACATGCATGAAAAGACTTATATTGATAAAGAGGTATGTGAGAATCGTAGGAATGGGCATTCCACAGTCTCTGCTATGCCATGGCATCACTAACACTAGTCTATAAGAACATTGTTACTAACAATTTGGACACAGTGGTCTGAAATAAAAGTATTATTATATATTATCAATCAATAATAATAGTATAAAACAAAGTCGCTTTCGCTGTATGTCCGTATGTATGCTTAGATCTTTAAAACTATGCAACGGATTTTGATGCGGTTTTTTTTAATAGATAGAGTGATTCTTAAGGAAGGTTTGTATGTATATACATATTGCACCCGTGCGAAGCCGGGGCGGGTCGCTAGTTATTATTATAAATGCTACTTACTGCCGAGCACTTGAGCGATAGTATCGTGTGTGGCGAGTATCCCTGTCTCCAACCAGATAGTGAGAGCAATCAGGAAGCAGTAGCGCTGTGTCATGGTGCGCCAATGTTCTTGGTATCTGGAAACCATCATATATTATATAAGAATATTTTTATCCTATTATTCTGTCTAGTTTGTAATAAAGGACTATTTATAATCTTTTTGTTAATTTCTATATTTTAAGTAGGTATCTAGCTTTTCCTAAGAAATAGACATCAGCTTAAAGGATGCATAATTTAGTACATACTACAATGAAATAGTTAGCTAAACCATTACAGGTTTAGCTTCTCCATTTATTATTTTTTAAACGCATAACATAACATAATCTTCATATAACATCATTCCTTTTATCCCCAAAGGGGTAGGCAGATGTACACATTACGGCACTTAATGCCACTGTCAATGTTACACCCACTGTTCATTATTTATGGTATGAGTCCCATGTAAGAGGGGGTGAGTCTATTGCCTTATACTGGGTACAATTCCAGACTGAGAATTTTTTTAAGAACCCAGTAGTTTGACTTTGACCCTTGCCCATCAGTCGCACTTGCAACCACTTGGCCAACGAGGCAGTATATTTTCAATTGTTATTTATTTATATACAATAATATGTTAAATTATCCATTATTAGTGAAGTAAAGTAACTAATTTCATTTTTATACTTAGTATGTACATATTTTATTTTAATTTGATTTTTGAAATTCTCCGTAAACATCATGGTGTTAGAGTTAAATGGCCCTCTGGCTATTCTTCAGAGAAACTGTGAAATTTTATTCGAATATGTGTAAAAAACTACATACTTGTAGTAATCATTAGGAGGCAGAGCTTCAGTCAGCCTGGCGTATCCTTCTCGAGCCTTCTCAAACAATTCCCTAGCTTTAAGGCAAGCAGGATTGACTGAAAAGATAATTATTATTAGTAAATAATTATCACACAACCTCTTTGGTTACAAAAGAGTTTCCATGCTTACTGCCGGCTTCATTGTGGTGGATTACTTGAAGCACTGTGGTCGCTTCCCGCGATATTTGACCGACATCCTTGCAGATATTTCTTATAACCTACATTATAACAAACGTGTTAAAATTTATTGATTTTCCCACCTATTTCATTCCTAGTCGCTAGATTACACTATCTACAACTCCAAAGTTAATATCAAACGTAACTTTTCATCGCATTTTCACTATTTACACATCAAAATTCGACACGAATACAAAATAATAATCAGAAGCAAAAAACATAATTTGTATACGAAAAAAACCACGTGTACCTCTCGTATTTCTTGCTCTTTATCCATATTACTTTGGAAGTCCGTAAATAAAGAGTTTATAACGTGATTTTCACACATTTTCGCTGATTTACTGAAAACACCGCGGTAAAAACAACTTTCTTGTTTGACAGATGAGAAATCAATATTTTTGGTAAAGTTGAACGCACTTCTTTTCTTAATTTCACGTTTTGTTATTGCACATGGATGCTTGATTTGCAGCACAGAAATATTAATTATTTTTCACAAATATGATTATATTGTATTTTACATTGTTTCCAACAATACTCTTACGGGAGCACCTAACAAAAAGTCTGCCCACACTTAAGACCTGGGTTGCCTTTACCGCACCCGGCATCGGCCATCGGTTGCTTTCCTTCTTCGAGTGGCATACGTAGCTACGCTAACGTCTACTCCCGCCGATACAGCGGACGTCTGAGTCTCCTTGTCAATCATCTGCAAGCCTCTTCTATGGAGGCAATAGATCAGCTGCTGCCTCATGGCGCGTCTACGGCGGGAGAGAAGATAACTTGACGCCACCCTTTCCCTTTACAAAAACTCCCAGTAACTATATCATTATCAGCCCAATAAGAATAACCGTCTGCAGCTGACGTGTAGTCCCACAGACACCGCGAAATACAAAATCACGTGCTATACCGTCATTTTTCAAATACGAGCATCACTGCTGCGAGTACCTTACTGTATAGTGCTCGCTATACTTTAATTCTACAAAAATATTTGCTGTTGAAATGGTGTCTGGTATAATATACACCTCAGTTGAATTGTAACAATTTAACCACGTCAGTTGCAGAGGGTTAACTTTCTCTTTTGAAACATTCCGCATAAACTTTACTTCTGGATTTTGTTTCTGAAAACCGTAACTTTTGTGTCTGGTCGTCATAAATTCCACTATTATAAGCGAAACCTTGAGAAGGAGGACCGTAGAAGGATACAGCTGGGCTGGGCAGCTTATAGGAAACTCAATTACTTCTCTTCTCTTCTCCGTCTTCTCGTCACAGATACCACAAACATGGACGAACACGGGCTGACGATGATGAAGCGGAAACTAAGAAGAAGAAGAAGAATTTAGAATTTGAAAATTTTAAATCTCTTGTAAAACCATTTAAATTGGATTGTTTATAATCAAATATGGAGTGTTTTCTGAAGTGGGAAATTTCCACTTGATTTCCAATTTAAATTCTACATCATTTTCATTATCACATAAAATACGTACTGTGTCCTGGGCGCGTTTACAAACATACTAGTTCACATATACACATGACACCCAGACCCGGAACAACAATCTGTGGATCATACAAAGAGTTGTTCCGTGCGAGAAAACCCGCGTCACGTTGCGCGGCAGCCAGTCGTCCACCCACCGCGCCCAATCGTGCCGATTATTATATCCTAATGTCTCCTAATCTTGGCCATGATGCGGAGCGAGGGGGACTGGGATGCCGTCTCCTCCTTTTGCGAAGCAGTCATGCTAGCTAAGGAGGAGGCGGGACGCGTGAGGCAGCGAAGCGCTGCCTCCTCGCAACCCAGCCATCGCGAAGGACACACCGGGCGTCGGGGATCGCGGGACGATCTCCGGCCACCGTAAGCGCGGGCCTGCGGACGGCGAGCATGGGTGGCTCCCCGTCCGACCAGAAACAGACCCGAGCGTACGGCGCGTCGCGTTCCGCGCGCGCCTCAAAGAGCCATCAGACCACCACAGATGGGGCCCAATAGGGCCGATGCCGATTCGGAGTCGCGGAGAACCTAACGGGTAACCGGGGCTCCGGCTCGACGTGCAGGAGAAGGAACGGGGTGGTTTTTAGTCAGTAAGAGTCTGACACTCCCTCCCGCCTCACCCAGGCGGGGGCAGTCATTCGATGATTTTCCCCCCTTAAAAAAAAAAAAAAAAAAA